GCACCCAAGTAGCCCGGCTGCGGCTGGGGAACTCAGACACCTAGGCGCAGCCTTCATCATCCGGAAGTGTGGTCCTGGAGACTTCAAACCCTTTGTCCGCGCCGCCGGAAGTATCTGCCGCAACTGCGCATGCTTCCCGCGGGCGCGAGGCGGGGCGGGGCACTGGATGGGGCGGGTCGGCATCCTGACTCGTCTCGCGGTTACTGGGCCAGGGCGAGCGCGCGAGGCTCGGGGGTGGCGCTGGGAGGAGCTTAGTCCAAGTGGGCTCTGCGGGTCTCTGCTCCGCGTCACTGAGAGCGCGGGATTGAGGTCGTGTTAGGTGAGGAGGTCGCACCGGAAGTGGCATTGGTCGTGGTGTTTCAGTGTTGTAAGGAGACTGTGGCGGAGTTTTGTTGTTAAGGGGGCGCGGCACAGCACCTCTCCCTCCACCTTCGCTGCAGTAACCATGGCAAAAGGCAGAGTCGCGGAACGATCGCAGACAGGGGCACTCCACACGACCCCCGTGGGGGATAGGGCAGCAGGGACGCGAGGTCCCATGGCGCCTGGCGGCGGAGACCACCTGAAGGGTGAGTGGACCCGGGGACCAGAGCTGGGGCTGGCCAAGTGTCACCAGTGTGCCGGGAGGGGCTCCGGAGGCGAAAGGACCCCAGAGGGTCTTGGAGTTGGTGGGGAAAGAGGCGGCCTGCTGGCGCCTGAGAGTGGGGGAGTTGGGCTTGGGCCCTAGCGTAGCACAGACCAGACACCTAGTAGGTGCGTTGTAAATGCTTATTTAGTCGAATTCGGTTAAAACAAGGAATGACACTGGCGTGTTGCGCAGGGAGATTATAAGGTTGATAATAAGGAAGCTAGGTAGAGCTGGAAGGAAATCTAGCATTCGTTGCGTTGTTTTCATAGATGAAGAAACTGAGGCCCAGGGTGCGTATATGACTTGAACAGTCATAAAGTCAGATTAATAAAATAGTAATTAAGAGCAAGGACTTAATACTTCCAGGTACATCTGAGCTGAGTCTCTACTAGTATTTACTTGTGACCTTGAACTTGGTAACTTTAAAAAACTAAAATGGGGATGATAATAGTACCTACATAATAGGTTGGTGCGTGGGATAAATGGAATAATTCATATAAAAGATGTAGCGTAATGCTTGGCTTATTTAAAGTGGGTGCTAAATAAATGTTAGCAATTATTATAGCTAAGATCACTCATTCTAAAGCTTTTTTCCCATTACACCATCCTGGTATTTCTCGGGGACTTTAAATATTATTTTAGGGGAAAAAGTGTGCCTAGAAACTAAATACTTCTGTCTTGGCATGGAATTGTACCTTGCTTTTTAGCTGTTGAAATGATTAAACTCTTTAAATGCTTTTAAAGCTCAAACTTGAAGTGATGCTAACAATTGGCCATTAAGTTGTCTGCAGCTCACATAGGTGTGTTCCACCACCAGTGATAGCTAAGGAGGTCTTTTAAGAGCATATAGCACTTCGGTGTCCAAGGGCAGAGGAAGAAAAAAGTATATAGCAGAAATGTTAATGTACTTTTAAATAATTTAATATGTCTTCAACAGTCTAATTTGGCTTTTTAAGTTTTGTGTATTTGGACATTTTTCTCAACTCGTCAGTGGAACCAAATAATTTCATGGAACTTCAAAAGCTCAAGTGAATTGTTAAAATACAAATCTGTTCTAAATGAAACGTTTTTTTCCCTTTCTGATTATTTATTTATTTTTATTTTAGCGTATTATGGGAATATAAGTGTTAAGGTTACATATATTGCCCATCCCCTCCTAGGCCGCTGAGTAAGAGCTTCAAGTGTGTTAAATGGAACATTTTTTAAGACTATCCTCAGTGAGAGTGACGATCCAAGGCTAGTTTTCTTGAAAATGTTTCCAATAAGGCATCCATAAGATTGTCATTTGGTTTGAGTTAGCAGTTGTATTATTAATGTTTTTTTTCCTTTCTGGGGGGAGGTCTCTGTAGCCCAGGTTGGAGTGCAGTGGCATGATCATAGCTCACTGCAACCTTGAATTCCTGGGCTTAAGCAAGCCTCCTGCCTCAGCCTCTCTAGTAGCTAGGAATACAGGTGCCCACCACCACACCTGGCTAGTTTTAAAATTTTTTTGTAGAAACGGGCTTTTGCTATGTTGCCTAGGCTGGTTTTGAACTCCTGGCCTCAGTGATCCTCCTGCCTCGCCTCCAAAGCACTGGATTACAGGCATGAACCACTGCACCTGGTCTATTCATCTTTTTTTTTTTTTTTTTTAACCTAAAGCTGTTCAGGAAATAGAACCTTGAAACTTCCAAAGTGCTTTTATAATTGTTTCTTATTTTATCATTAAAACAACACGTTCAGCAGTTTGTCTTCTTACGATGCTGCCAAATGACTTCTGTGGATTATAAATCTGTAGGAAGATAGAGGAAGAGAGATATGGAGGTATGCCTTCGTGAAGAAGTGAGGTTTGGCTAAGTAGAGAGGAAGGGAGGGGATGCCAAGCTAAGGGAAATAGTAGTAGCTTGAAGGTTAATGTGAACCTTTATGCTAGGCAAAGGAAGTTTTTTGAACCATGCTGTTTATGATTCCCAGTTTTTTCTTTTTCTTCTTCCCCCATTGTCTCTGTTTTTTCTCTTTCTTTATATTAGGATTCTCTTTATAGGCAAAGATTTTGTGGACTTACATGATAGGGTTGATTTACTTGGTGGTATCAGCTGTTGATGTGATGGCATTACAACTACTTAACTGATTTTCTAGGATTTGAAAACATTTTTTTAATTGCAGGTGGTTACTTGGCATTCAAAAAAGGGAAAGGTTTTAGAGAAGAGATAAAAATTTTAATAACCTTGATTGAAATGCATGGTAATAGAATTTTATGACACTTTAAACGAATTTGTATTTTATGAAGTGACAAATTCATATAACTTTGACAAATACATTATCATGTAGGCCGCGTGCGGTGGCTCACACCTGAATCCTAGCACTCTGGAAGGCTGAAGTGGCGGATTGCTCGAGGTCAGGAGTTAGAAACCAGCCTGAGCAAGTGCAAACCTGGCTTTACTATAAATAGAAATTAATTGCCAACTAATATATATAGAAAAATCAGCCGGCATGGTGGTGCAGCCTGTAGTCCTAGCTACTTGGGAGGCTGAGGCAGTAGATCACTTAAGCCCAGGAGTTTGAGGTTGCTGTGAGCTAGGCTGATGCCATGGCACTCACTCTAGCCTGGGCAACAAAGTGAGACTCTGTCTAAAAGGAAAAAAAATTTTTTATCATGTGTATGTTTGAAATGTTTTACACTCTAACTGCAATGTTGGTACATTTAGCAGGTTCCTTGCCATGACTCTGGTCTGTAGTCTAAGATCTGAGCCTAGTAGACTAAGTACCACTTCAAAGATTGAGAAAGGCAATAACACTGAATCTAATTCTTGTATGATGAGGAAGATGAGAGAAAGACAAGAAATGGAACCAGTTAAGAGGCTCTTGACCTTATCTGTTGGTGAGGGTGTCTGGATTATATTCTCTTTTGTTATGTTTGTCGTGACTGATCTTTTTTTTTTTTTTTTTTTTGACAGAGTCTCACTTTGTTGCCAGGCTAGAGTGAGTGCCGTGGCATCAGCCTCCCGCTCACAGCAGCCCTCAAACTCCTGGGCTCAGCAATCCTACTGCCTCAGCCTCCCGAGTAGCTGGGACTACAGGCATGCACCACCATCGCCGGCTAATTTTTGTATATATATTTTAGTTGGTCAATTAATTTCTTTCTATTTTTGGTAGAAACAGGGTCTCGCTCAGGCTGGTTTCGAACTCCTGACCTTGACCATTGCCTGCCTCAGCCTTCCATAGTGCTAGGATTACAGGCGTGAGCCACCGTGCTCGGCTCGTGGCTGATCTTTTTACTAGCAAGTTCCCATTTTTATATTTTTTTTTTTTTTTAAGACTGTCTTGTCTGTCACGCAGGCTAGAGTGTGTGGCATCATCATAGCTCACTGCAACTTCAAACTACTGGGCTCATGCTGTCCTCCTGCCTAAGCTGAGACTACAAGTGCATGCCAGCATGTCCAGTTAATTTTTCTATTTTTTTTTTTTTTTTTTGTAGAACTAGTGTCTCCCTGTATTACCCAGTCGGTTCCAAACCTCTGTCTCAAGAGATCCCCCATTGGCCTCCCAAAGTGCTAGATATTAGTGTACCACCATGCCAGCCTCCCATTTTTTATTTATTTATTTATTGCCAGTCAAATTTAAGTGGGAGGTTGGTATACCAACTTTAGTGACACTAATGTTAATAAGTTCTAACAATGCACTACCATCAGACTAGCCCCATTTTAATTTAAGAGAACTCCTAGGACTGTTTTTAGTATATAAGGTCATACTCATCTGAAGGTATGAAATCAGTTTGATGAATAATCAAAGGATGAACGTTTAAAACAAGTGAACAGAAGAGAAACTGTCAAAGTGCTTTCCATGTAGTAGGGGGCAGGTATTGTTTTTTGAAATCTTTTTTTTTCAGTTATGTAGATTTGGCATGTACCAGATATAGAATACATTGCTTACTGTGGACACAGTCAAAAAAGTTTGAGAAACCCTATCTCCAAGTTGGTTTTACAGCTGTTAGAAGACAATCTTATTTGATTTGGGTAATAAATCCCTCTCAGATTCCTATTCTGGATTTTGCCTTGCTAATTTGCTTCAACAAATACTCCTCAAGCATCTGCTATGAGCAAGGTAGAGAAAGAAGGAAGCTCAGTTACTGACAAAAGATCTAAAAACAGATTTGGCACTGGACATCAACTAAGATATATGTTGATTTGTTGTCACCTAAATATTAGTATCAGGATCCTTTTTTTTTTTTTTTTGGCCTACAATCAGTAGAAAACCCAATTGGAACCCTTGCCTGAAAGGGAGTTTATTGCATGTAAGTAAAAAAATCAAGAGATGAAGTAGGATTTAGTGACTTGAGGCTGGAGTTAGTGGCTCAGTATCTTCAGGGTCAGATTTCTTCATATGGTGGGTTTGCTTACTTTGATATCAGCTTTACCCTCAGTTTAGCTCTTCTTGAAGCTCAAGTAAGCTAAATGCTTCCTTGTTAATTTTGAGACTCTTTTTCCTAGCATTACCAATAAAGTCTTGGTATTCTCTGATTAGATTGCCTCAGATCAAACTGCTCATCTGGAACCTGTCAGTATTGTCAGAGGGTAAGAATAACCTGATTGGCTCAGACAGATTCATGTTCCATACCCAGAAAAGGAATAGGAATGGGTTAAATCATTTTCCAAATATGATGATCGGTCACTCATGACTTTTTTTTCTATTTGTGCTCAACCATCTTGGGTAGGAATGAAGAAAGTGAACTTGTAGCCACTGATTTTGGGTTAGATAGCTGTAAGGAAAGGATAAGAATTTTAATCAAAGGTGCTAGTTCAGATGATACATCTTGAAGTCCAGGCTGGTGGAAGAAGAGAAGGAGTCCAAAAGAAGGGAGAAATGGAGAAAGTAAGCCATGGAAGAAAAAAGATGATGAAGGAATGGAATATTGGATTTTGAAATTGTCCAAGGTAGAGCAGTTCCAGGTGATGTGAGAATTCATTGTATAGCCTTGGAAGTAAGTGGCTAAAATTGAACGGAAATGAAGGTCTAAGAATTTTGAGATTGGGTAGATCATCTAATGGAATGATGAAATCTTTTAGGATTATGGATACGTTTACCACAAGTTGGTCTTGGTCTTCAGTGAATTGAGGAATCTATCTGAAAGGGAGGTAATAGTGAGGATCTGTGGGTTGGATAGTAGCAGGGTTGCAGGTCTAAACCTTAGAGAATGAACCTTATACAAGATTGAGAGTGCTGCTTCTGCAACCTGTAAACATGCTTTCTCCTATGTGTGTTTTTTTTAAACTTTATTTCATATATAATTTTGAGACTCGAATGCAGTGCTCTCATCATAGCAAGTGCAACATCAACTCCTGGGCCAAGAAATCCTCTGAATCCTCCTGCCTCAGCTCCAGAATAGCTAGGACTAACAGCACTTTATTAAATAAAAAGTTGCTGTACTGGAAAGTATAAGTGGTAATTAATAAATATTGAGTTGAGGGCATGGTTTTCTATGGGCTGACCATCAAGCAGAGACATATTATACATGTAAATAGTCTATATATAAAATTTTTTCCAGATGCTGATTACTTTTAAAGTTATGCAATTAAACTTTAAGTAATCAGGAAGAACTGCCAGCCCATTTAACTTACTTTCCTGCTAGAATCAGGTCCAGAGTACAAAAGACTAATGCAAATAATTTAAATATTAGCATCTTTTATCTGTTAAAACTTTAATCTTATTTTTTCATTCTGAAGTATTTGTGTGAACAAGAATGACTTCTAAGAACAATGGCTGATTTTTTCCCCTTTCCTTAGAACTTCTTTAATTTACTCCATTAAGTGCACGAAGAACTTCTCTTTAAGAACTACTAATGCAGGGCTATGTACTCAAATGTGGAGTTGCTTAAGCTGCCCTGTTGATTATCTGTTAGTATCAAATAAATGTTTTGTTCAGTCTCTGCTTTTTTTTTTTTTTTGAGACAGAGTCTCACATTTGTTGTCCAGGCTAGAGTGAAGTGCCGTGGCGTCAGCCTAGCTCACAGGCAACCCTCAACTCCTGGCTCGAGTAGTCTTTCTGCCTCAGCCTCCCGAGTAGCTGGACTACCGGCATGTGCCACTATGCCCGGCTATTTTATATTATATATCAGTTGGCCAATAATTTCTTCTGTTATAGTAGTAGACGGGTCCCTCTGCTCAAGCCTGGTTTTAACTCCTGACCTTGAGCAATCCGCCCGCCTCGGCCTCCCCAAGAGCTAGATTACAGGCGTGAGCCACCACGCCGGCCCTTTCCCCTTTCCTTTTTAAGGAAAATGAATATAACTTATTAAGAGTCCTCAATATATACATTGAATTATAACCAGGGGAAAAATGTATTGGACATTTAGGCATTTGTTGTTATTAGAGTCTGCAGAGACTTCATTTTTAACCTACCTCAGATGTTTAAAGTATGTTTTTAATTCTCTGCTGCAACAAAGCATACATATCAAAACCTCAGTGGATTAATGATATACGAGTATTAAGAAAGAGGCATGCCTAGTTTATTACTCCATTGAAGTCATCTTTTGTACTATTATGATCTCATTCCTTCCTACACAAATAAATTTTAGAAGTGTGATATGAGCAAATCTCCTTTTTGAGATTAAGATGAGTCTTAGAATAATAGGGGCTATTGGTTCACAAAGTTTGGCTGAGGGAAAAAAATAACAGGGACTAGTTGGGAGTTTAGACTGATTAATCTGTTTAGATTACAGAAAATTGGAAAAGATAATTTTAAACTATTTTTCAAATACTAGAATTTGAAAAACTTTATAGAAAGCCTACTTTGGAATAGGTAAGACTATCAAAGCACTAACCTAAGCAATTCTTGTTTCAACAGAAATTACAGGATGAATATAAATGGATGTTAAAGTGCTTTGGTGATATACTTCACATTATTTGGTTTCTTTTAGAGATGGGGTCTTGCTGTGTTACCCAGGCTGGGCTCAAACTCTTGAGCTCAGGAGATCCTCCGTCGTCAACCTTGAAAGTAGCTGGAATTACAGACCTGTGCCATTATACTAGGCTCAGGATTTTTTTCTTTTTTTAAGATAGTGCAACTTCCTTCTTTGGGCTTTGATTTACTCACCTGTAAAATAGGTAGAATGGGCCAGATTCTTCTTAAACTTTTTTTTTTTTTTTGAGACAGAGTCTTACTCTGTTGCCCGGGCTAGAGTGCCGTGACATCAGCCTAGCTCACAGCAACCTCAAACTCCTGGGGTTAAGCAATCCTTCTGCCTCAGCCTGCTGAGAAACTGGGACTACAGGCATGTGCCACCATGCCTGGCTAATTTTTTCTACATGTATTTTTTAGTTGTTCAGCTAATTTCTTTCTATTTTTAGTAGAGATGGCATCTCGCTCTTGCTCAGGCTGGTTTCCAACTCCTGAGCTTGAGCGATCCTCCTGCCTTGGCCTTCCAGAGTGCTAGGATTACAGGCATGAGCCACCATAACTGGCCCAGATTCTTCTTAAGCTTTAATGTGCATGCACATCACTTGAGTATCTTATTAGAATGCAAACTTTTATTTTAGTATGTCTGAAATGGGGCCTGAGAATCTGCATTTCTAACAAGCTACCTGGTGATACTTATTCATGTAATCCACAGAACACACTTTGAGTAGCAAGGGGTGAAGTGGTTTCTGTTGCTCTGTGTTGAATACATAATTTAGCAAAATCCACAAAATTTAGCAAAATCAATATATATAAAACTGCCATAATGAGACAAAGGGTATAATAAAGTTTATATTTTATTTAGTCATGACTTTTTGGTTGAAAGGAATAGAAATCAGTTTAAATGAGCACAAATAAAAAGGAAGGTTGTTAATAAGAGACGATCTTACTGGCATCTGTGAGCAAGAAATATAGCCAGACTTTTTAGTGGAAAAAGTTAGGAATCAACAAGTAGGTTAGCTATATTTCTCATTTCTGCTTCTCTAGGTTTCTGTTCCCGCCTTTCCTCCCATAGTTTCTGGTACATGTCTTTGGCTTAACATGTTACTGACTGACTGTGGCCTCCACTCTGTGACCTTTTAGCCCCAAGACTCACCACCCCTTGACCCCTTGATAAACAGTATCTCTTTTTCTTAGTTCAAGTTCTTAAGAGAAAAATCTGGTCAGCCAGTGATGAATTGTTTTACTTGGGTCCAGTATCCAACCGTGGACCAATGTAAGAACAGGGCCACTGAGATTGGCCCCTTTTGGGGGATAAGGGAAAGTTCTCAGGGAATGGAGATGGAGCTAGAGCAGGCAATGACACCTGTCTCATACGTCTTTATAAACTTACTAGAAAGGATGTTCTAAGATAGTATAGACAGTCAAACACTTTAGGATACTTCATTAAAAGCATTTATGAAAGCCACATGGACAGTAGTTGAGGGAGGGTTATAGTGGTGGATCCATTCTCAGGAAACTAAGAATAATATTAATAAATCTTAATTATACTATACAGATTTTTAAATCCTCTGAATGTTCTCGGTGTATACATGGGATAGTGGTAAATGCAGGCAATAAAAATTGAGTCACTGTTCCTACCTCTTCCCTATTGAGCACTATGTTAAGCTGACGTGCCCTCCCCACTGTTGACTGCTTCTTGGCAAAACAGACCTGCTCGTTCTTCTGCTTACTGATCTCTGGATCTCATTCCATACTTTTATCTTTCATATAATTTTTTTAAGATAACATTGAGATTACCTTGTGAGGAAATGCAAATGTTCTCTCATTCTTGGAGTCACAGACAGCTACTCAAAACATTTGAAGTTCAACTTCATATTCCAAAGCCTTTGGTGTAAAGAGAAAGTATAAAATTCTCTGGTTGCATTTGTGAATATTGGTGTTCTTAAGACAGTTGAAGTAATTGCCAAATTACCTCATTTTTCCAGAGAGGCCATTCTGTCTATGCTGTCAGCTTCCAGTATAGAGATATAAAATTGAGAGCCAGTGATAGCATTTAGAACAGTGTTTTCTCCCACCCCACTACCCCAACCCCTTTGGCTTATCAGCATATCAGTGCTACAGATTCTGGTCTTCTGTTTTTTCATGCTTCTAAAATGGATATATTCCCCAAAAAGTAGTATGTACAGTTAGTAAACTTTAAATACTATATAATACTTAAAATGTAATATCACAGTGTTTTGGGCAAAGGTATGAACAGTTTTTTAGGAGGAAAGCATTTATGGAAATTATTTTCTGGCTTGGAATATTGTCTTCATTTATATTTATCTTAATTATACCTTTTTTTTCTTTCAGAAAAAGCCTGGGCAGAAGGTGGATCAGCAAGAATGTCACTCCTTATATTGGTGTCCATTTTCTTATCTGCAGCTTTTGTTATGTTTTTGGTGTATAAAAATTTTCCTCAGCTTAGTGAGTAAGTATGATGAGAGAGAAACTGAAACTGCCAGAAATTTATAAGATGAAAGTAGATTAAAAGTTAAAACTTTAAGCAATAGAGCTATCGTGCTCTAATGGCTTGTAGCAAGTCTGTATCAACACTATTATTTAAATACTTCTTTTCCAATATACCTCTTAATTTTCTACTCAAGCTTTTCCTAGCACTGCTTCTCTAATTGTGGCCTCATCTTTCTAATCACTTTCAAAAATTTTTAAAGATATAACTAAAATAAATACATTTTTATATTATGATGCTGCTCACATGTCCTTTCCCTCTCTCATTCTTGCAATCTACATACATATAAAATCAAGTTAAAGTTTCAAGAAACAGATGATATTTTCTATATGTTTTATTTTTTAATGCTAGTAGGAACTAAGTAAATTTATTTTACAATCCATAATAGATAATGACCTGCAGCTGGAATAAAACATGGTATTCTCTGCTTTTTCCTTTTTTCTGTCCCTATTTTCCCCCTTCCTCCTTTTGCGTGTGATCAATTTTTTACCTGCTTCTATTCATCCATTTCTTTACATACCACGTATGTTTCCTAGCTCTTTTTCTCTTCCCAGTTTTATGGAAATCACATGGTCTAAATAGGTACTTTCACAGTGAAATTGACCTTATAAAAGACTGTATATCAAGTATACATCCACAAACTCCTTACCTAAAACTTCGGTGTAAAATGTGTTTCAGAATTTAGAATTTTCCCATTTTGGAAAGGTACCATAGAATGTATACTATATATTATGTGATACCTCCAGCAGGCAGCATCCCATAATCAAATACATTAATATTTTTGGAGAGAAACCTTCATAGAAACACTAAACATGATAAAAGACTATAACCTTACACAAATGTGGGTCAATTTTTATTGACAAATTACTTTTAGTTTTCAGAATTTTTAAATTTTTTTACTTATTTATTTTTTGAGACAGTGTCTTGCTCTGTCTCCTGGGCTAGAGTGTGGTCGTGTCCTCATAGTTCACTACAACCTCACCTCCCGGGCTCTTGCCTCTGCCTCCCGAGTAGCTTGGGCTACAGGCACACACCACTATGCCCAGCTAATTTTTCTATTTTTTGTAGAGATGGGGTCTTGCTCTTGCTTGGTCTGGTCTCAAACTCCTGGCATCAAGCAATCTCTATCCTCATGCGTTGGCCTCCCGAAATTACAGGCCTGAGCCACCATGCCTGGCCAGAATTTTTTTAATTTTAGGGAAGAGATTGTGAAACATATTTTAGGAGGGCAGAATATCCCAGGGCTATTTAACCTTAGTAATACTGCCCTGGTATAATCATACATTACATAAAGGACTACTAAAATGTAATGAGACTTTCAGCCAGGGCTAGCCTGATGTGATAATGGATAGCTGAAATGTGATTTCACAATATGAGCAAATTTGTATTTCTTCATTTCTTTTTATTCTCATTCTCAGTTCTTCATGCATGATATTTCATAGTTAAACTTATTTTTATTTTAATATTTTAATTTCTTACATCCATGTAAATGCCTTTGAGAGGGTAGCGCGCTATGTTGTTAAGTTAATATTAGTATGATTGAATTTAGATTCTGATTTTGAATAAGGAACAGGGAATAAAGAGCTGATTGAAAGAGGGAAAGAATGGACTGTAAGGTTGTCTTTGCTCCCAATCTGCTCTAAGAATGATAACATATCACTTGCATAAAATAATGTTCTATTTACAAACCTTTTGTGTTCTGCTTCTCTCTCTGTTTCTGTGTGTGGATGTGTATGCATGCTCATGCATTCCTGGACCTATAGAGTCTTTAGTTTTTAAATTTTATAAATGGGTAGCCATTTTAGTTTACCAGATATTTTTATAGGACTTAAGAAAGTAGCACCCTATCATTGTTTTGCAGGGTCAATTAAATTTTAACATGTAATCAAATGAGCATAATATACAAAGGTGATTATTTGAGGCTTTCATACGTAAGAAATCAGTTCCAAAATGCCAAAGGTAAAAGTTAATAGAAAGGGAAAAATGTTGAAGTTTTCTGAACTTTGAGCTGAGATATTGGAGGTAAGTTGTGAACTGTGAATTCATTAGCTTTTACTTAATCCCATTGTAAATGGTTATTGACTTGGGTTACCCAAAATGATGTTATATGTGTTTTTAATTATTCTAAAATCAGAGGTTTATTTCTTTTTTCTTTTTCTTTTTTTTTTTTTTTTATCAAAATTGCAGTCAGTTCTCTCAAATTATTTCTTATATTTAAAGTTTATACCAGTGTCGGAACAAATGCTTTTAACTTTTAGTTTGGGTCATCTTGAACTTTCATATATGAATTCTGTATCTTGTGAAATTATATCAAAGCATTAAAAAACAATTTGTTTTTGAACTTAAAAATTACTAATTTGGACTTGATGTATTAGATTGGGGCATCAAATCATTCTGGATAAAATTTCATGATTTGAACTTGACTTAAATATTAATTATCTTGGCAAATTCTGTTTTAAAATTTTCCACTTTAATTTTATTTCTTTAGAGAAGAAAGAGTGAATATGAAGGTTCCCAGAGATATGGATGATGCCAAGGCTCTAGGAAAAGTTTTATCCAAATATAAAGACACCTTTTATGTTCAAGTACTTGTAGCTTACTTTGCTACATATATTTTGTATCCTTTTAAGTGAAAAATATTTTCTAATTGTTTTCAAGAAAAAGTTTAAAAAGGTCTGCTGTTCATTTATGTGTAACTATTTTTCCTTTTAAAGGTTGTTAATCTGCGGGGGTTGGGGGGGTGTGGGTTGGTGATGTCTCACATGTATAATCCTAGCACTTTGGGAGGCCAAGGCCGGAGGATCGCTCAAGGTCAGGCGTTCAAGACCAGCCTGAGCAAGAGTGAGACCCCATCTCTACTAAAAATAGAAAGAAACTAATTAGCCAAATAAAAATATATAGAAAAAATTAGCCGGGTATGGTGGCACATGCCTGTAGTCCCAGCTACTTGGGAGGCTGAGGCAGAAGGATCGCTTGAGCCCAGGAGTTTGAGGTTGCTGTGAGCTAGGCAGATTGCCACGGCACTCTAGCTGGAGCAACAGAGTGAGACTCTGTCTCAAAAGAAAAAAAAGGTTTTTAATACAGTGTAACAATATTAAATAAAATATTTAAAAATTTAAATAGAAAAAAAATCTCGTTTTAATCTTTTCAACTCAATTATTTTTATTTCTAAATATTTACCAGGTCTCTTGTATTGTGTATATTTCACTTATATTTGATTTCCTTTCTTCCATATTATTCAAGATGTTTATTTTCTTAATAATTTTGTTAACTATTTTAATTTAAATACTTATTTTGAATTAGTAGTCACCATATCACTATTTTTAAAAGTATTCCCTTAGGCTTGAAGGTATAATTTGTTTTTAATTTTTTACTTTTATAGATGTTACAAATCTTCTTTGTTCATGTTTTTTTCCTTCCATTTAATTGTTGCCTTTGTAAAAATTCTTTAGAGGATAGTCATTCAAAGGAATGAATTTTTTTATAGTTCTTGGTATGTATTTCTTTGTTTTATAGAAATAAGTGTTCTATTTTAACTAGTCAGGAAAATAGCTGTATTCTGTTCTTTTTTCTTTCTTTTTTCTTTTTTGTCCTCACCAAAGAGCATTATGTATCTTTTATTCTTACTCTTATCCAACCTGTTTTCCACATCTACCCGGTTAATAAAAGACATTCTCTATTGATGTTGTGGAAGTAATCATTATCCTTTTAAAAACAACTTTCTTATTTATTTATTTAATTTATTTATTGACAGTGACTTGCTCTGTCACCCAGGCTGGAGTGCAGTGGAGCAATCATAGCTTGAATGCCTCAATTGAGGCGATCCTCTCTCCTCAGCTTCCCTAGTAGCTGGGACCATATGCATGTCCTACCACCAGCTTTATTTTTAAAAGGCAAATTAGTTCCTTTGCTAATTGTCTCAAGTTATTTATATTCTTGCTTCATTTCCTGCTTCCTTGCTTCATTTCCTGAATTTCTTTTGGTTGGTTGGACTTTTAAACTAAAATCTTTCTCTCCTGTAAAACTTAATAGCATTTGCTTTTCTTAGATTTATATCAGATTAGATATTACATATGTATCTATAGCTAAATTTATGCAAATGTTTTGAGTATATACATAAACACATTAGAGAAATTATTGCTAGCATAAGTAGTTTAGTGACAGGCATGTTTACAGGAGCTGGTGTTTCTAATACAAACATGACCTCTTTACCCATATGGTGAAGATATATTTGTATATTTAGGTGATGTGCTTTATGTAGGTACTTTATTGTTACCCTCTCTATTTATTAGAAAAAATTCAAATTTGGGAAAAATTTGGAGAACAATTATTAAGCACCTATCTTTTTGACAGGCCATTTTGGGCAGCTGTTTGTAAAGTAATTTAATCATATACTGTTTTAAGAAAGCCATACTGCCTCCTTTTCCCATTAACTCCATTTTGTCACCTGTGTTTGAAAATCTTAGTGTTAGGCTTACAGGTTATTTTGCCTTTATAGACTTTAATCATAAATTGAAATATTTTCCCCAAATAAGAAACCCGGTTCAACCCTTTCATTTGTCTTTTGTAAAATTTTTGTGAACATCTTATAAATGAGGCATATAATTTCTGTCTACTTTAGAAAGTCATCTTTTTTGCTCCAGTTTGTGTTCCAGCTTTGGGAGGGATACATGGCAAAGAGTAAAGGGGTGCCCGCCCATTTGGCCAATTAACCTGTTAGCATAAGTGAATCCTGGTAGTCTATGGGGTAATAAGTTTGTAGCCTCATTGTCTTACTAATATCCATGTGAAATTTAATACAACAGAAACTGCCCTGCAGAAGGTGAATTGAAAGTACAGGAATGGGTTGTTTATTATGAAATACATTTGGTTTAAAATTTTAAATAAGTTAATTTAATAAAGTTATTTATATTATTTTTACTTTTAAAACTCAGCAAATGGGAAAGACTATCTTAGGGCACATATCAGAGTTTTGGTTTTACTAGTACAGGGCTGATAAATAGAAATAAATGTGAGCCACATTTATTTTTAAATTTTCTAATAGGCACATTACACCTGAAAATTTACTAATATATTTTACTTAAGCGAGTGTATCAGTTTTTATCATTTCAACATGTAATCAGTATAAGAATTATTAATGTTTTACTTTTTTGTACTAAATTTTATTTTTATTTTTTTTGAGACAGGGTCTCACTTTGTTGCCCAGGCTAGAGTGAGTGCCATGGCGTCAGCCTAGTTCACAGCAACCTCAAACTCCTGGGCTCAAGTGATCCTCCTGCCTCAGTCTCCCGAGTAGCTAGGACTACAGGCATGCGCCACCATGCCTGGCTAATTTTTTCTATATATATTAGTTGGCCAATTAATTTCTTTTTTTAGTAGAGACGGGGACTCCCTCTTGCTCAGGCTGGTTTCGAACTCCTGACCTCAAGCAATCCGCCCGCCTCGGCCTCCCAGAGTGCTAGGATTACAGGCATGAGCCACTGCGCCCGGCCTGTACTAAATTTTAAAATCCAATGTGCATTTTACACTCACACCAGATTTCAAAATGTCGGACTTGGTGCATTTCAGTGTCTCAATAGCCATACGTGACTAGTGGCAACGGTATTCAACAGTGCTGTGCTATTATCTTTTAAATAATACCTAATGTCAAACTCTTATTATACATTTTTATATTCCTTATTTCAACCCTAGCATTTATTCAGCCTTTTTTAAAAAGTGCTAATTATATGCTAAGTACAAATCTAATCCTTTGAGTGTTCAAAAGCAGACCTGTTTCCAGCTGGAGTAACAGGAATGATGGGTAGAGATACATTAAGGTCATTTTAGACAGTAAATCTAGAGCAGAACTTAGAGCAGAGCTTCACTAAAGCTTAGTTTCATCTGGGATGAAGTCTAATCCCACATAGGGATCACTAAAAGATGATTATTAAGAAAAAGTCATTAATTTTAGCCATGAGAAAGTTTTAGTAGAGTGATAGATGGATTAATGAGGTTGTAGGAAACAATGAGACAATCTCCTGTGAGAAAGTGAAAATGAGGAGGAGTAACCAGTACACCTGGTTGAGGAAAGCTTAGATTTGTTTTTAATTTATAGGCATCTGAGTAGTTTTATAAAGGAGGGATTCTGTGAAAGAGCAGGAAGTTAAAGCTGAAAGAATACAGGAGGAAGAAGGAAAAGATTGAAATGAAAACATGAGTAAAATGGAAACTAAAGGAAAAATAGGAATTACATATTTCTTAAACTTTTAGATATAATTTTACTTTATTTTTAATACGGATATATGGATATAATCTCATTTATGTGATAATTTTTATGTTTATATTTTTTCTGAAATGATAGATTTGTTTTTTTTAAATTCCACTTAATTATGTTTTGATCCTTAACTTAGAAGTTACCAGTTTGCAAACATTTGCTATTCCAGGCTCTATATTTCTCAGTATACTCTCAGGATTTCTTTATCCCTTTCCACTAGCCTTATTTCTTGTTTGTTTGGTAAGTATATAAAATGAAATTGGGAGACTAGAAAAAGTTTTAAATAGGATGATGAGGATAATGATGGCATCTTAATCCTATTATCTATATAAGCATGAACTCATTAGTTGAAGAGGAGTTAAAGTGATTATCTGTTAAGTCCCCTCATAAGGAGGTATTTGTTTTTTCTAGAACAGTGATATTATAGAGTTAGTTGCATTTATAAACTCTGTTTTAGTTTTTCTTTCCTATTGTTTTTTAACTGGGAGTAGTCCAAGATTGTTGGTGAGCCCAATGAGTTAAGTCCCAGGGCTGGAGGTGGTGTTTTTAAGCATAGCAATTGAAAAGAAAAAATTGGCTCCTGAAATTTTATTCTTAGGCTAAAGGCTAACATTAATTATTTGGGTATAGTCATTGAGTATAATCACGAGTGCTAATGTGTTTTAGCTGGTCTCATTTGAGCTATAGTTTGGTTTTAGACTATATTAAATGGATTCTTATTCTCTGCAGTAGAGATGTCGTGTAGTGTAAACTTCATCTGGGATACCCCAAAGAAGTAAACTAGTTGGGCTTTTCTTTAGGTGACTATCTATGTGAATAAGATGGAAAAACACAAAATGCTTATGGGTTCTTGTTGTTTTCTAGTGTTCTGGACTCGGTGCCTCTTTCTGCTATATGCTCTCCTATTTAGTTGGGAGACCAGTTGTGTATAAATACCTAACAGAGAAAGCAGTAAAATGGTCACAGCAGGTAAATACTTATTTTTAAATTATTTAATATAACTCTTTGGTTAATTCAGAGGTAGGTCAATGTATATTCCCTATATAAATTAACACAGGTAAAAAAAATGATATTTTGACCAAAATAAAATCAAGTGGTAGGCAAATATGAATGTTAATAATTTCAAATACAAATGTCTCATACCTGTGATGGTAATGTTAATTCTTTATCCTAATAAGTTCAATTAGCAGAAAAGTCAAAGGTCAATATGAAGGCCTCCAAATAATTGGTCACCTCATCCATTTTGTGTTGATGCATCATGCTGTCGGTGGGTTACTGAAAAACTTATCAGCCAACTCCCAAAGCATTTCATCAATGAGAACAACTGTTATCATCAGGATCTCTGCAAAGAGTAGCAATGATAAATATAAGCACTACTACACAGAAAGGACTGACATAGTATTGCTAAGAGAATCCTATTTTTATAAAAAATCAGAATAAACAAACTGGTAAATCTCACAGGAATTTTAGAGATCATCCTGCCTTATCCCTTTGTTTTACAGATTAGGAAATTAAAAGAAATTAAGTATTTTGCCCTAAATCTTGATCATTTACTGTAGAGCAAGGTCTAGAATCTCAGATTTCTAGCGTTCTTCTCAATATACCACATATGTACTGACTATTAGAATAGTTTTACATGTAAGTATTTCTTTGGCATAGCTGTTTTCTGTAAACTTATTCAAAGGAAGTATAAACTGTCATCAGTGCTTATATTTAATCAGCTAAATATTTCCATATGCTTGTTTAAATTAATTTATCAGTGATGAATTTATTCATGTGATATACATTGTAATAGCATAAAGATTATTTTAAATTGGGGGCTAGATTTGTTGTGATATACTAGTCCATCACATGAGGCTAGATTTATTGATATACTAGTCCATTACATTGTAGGAAGTTAAAGGCATTAAAAAGTTGGCCAAGAGTTGGTTGCCGTTTCATGTGCCTATAGTCCCAGATACTTTGGAGACTGAGCCAGGAGAATCACTTGAACCCAGGAATTTGAGGCTGTAGTATGCAATGGTCATACCCATGAATAGCCACAGTACTCCAAACTGGGCAACATAGTGAGACCTCATCTCTAAAATAAAAAAAATAAAAGTTGGCCACTGAAAGTGTATCTTATATCTAGCTACCATGTAAGTTTAACTCTGGCACTTTAAGTTTAATATGTCATCCCTGAGCCATCATTAGGCTGATGTTGAGAACCATCTTTAGTAGTATACCATTGAGTTATGAAAAACTCAGGCCAGGTGAGGTGCCTCATGCCTGTAATCCTAGCACTCTGGGAGGCCAAGGCAGGAGGATTGCTTGACTTCAGGAGTTTGAGACAAGCCTGAGCAAGAGTGAGACCCCATCTCTACTAAAAAAATTAAAAAATTAGCCACGCGTGGTGGTGTATGCCTTTAGTCTCAGCTATTCAGGAGGCTGAGGCAGGAAGATCACTTGAGCCCAGGAATTTGTGGTTGCAGTGAGCTGTGATGATGCCACTGTATACTACCTGGGGCGATAGAGTGACAGTGTTTCAAAAAAAACTTCATTTAGCTCTAATAATGAGCATTTGATAAACAGTTCGTTGTCATTTTCAGACTCCTTTTTTTTTTTTAATCATTTCTTTTGTATAAATTCTGGGGATGAGAGGGATGAGATTAAAATAAGGTATTTCATATTAAGCAACTTGTTTTAAAGATAGGCCTTATCTGATGCTAATTCTTTTCTTTTTTATAACAGGTTGAACGTCATAGAGAACATCTCATTAACTACATTATATTTTTGAGAATAACACCATTTCTGCCTAATTGGTTTATTAATATCACATCTCCTGTGATAAATGTGCCATTGAAAGTTTTTTTTATTGGCACTTTTCTAGGTAAGTCCTCTGGTTCATACTGTATTAGAGCTCACTGTATACATATCTAACAGTGTCATGGCTTGAATGCATGCTCTCTGCAGACATGCCAGCAACATCTAGAACTCTTGGTCACAAAGCCTGGCCTGTATAAAATAAATGCTGAGAAATGTTTGTTAGATTGTGTTAATTTAGGTTACTTTTGTCTTACCTCTTTAAAGAAGAGCACTTTCTACTGGATATTGTTTCAATCATACAGAGTTAAATGGGACTTTTTAGCTCCAGTCTCCTCAATGGAGAGAAAAAAAATCAAGTTGTCTTTTTTGAATAATTTTCTCTTTTGTCTTCTAATCAAGTATTGAAATATTAAAATTTATTTTTCAACAAATATCCTTGCTTTCAAGGAACTGACTTTTTTTTTTTTTTTTTTTTGAGCCAGAGTCTCGCTTTGTTGCCCAGACTAGAGTGAGTGCTGTGGCATCAGCCTAGCTCACAGCAACCTCAAACTCCTGGGCTTAAGCAATCCTGCTGCCTCAGCCTCCCGAGTAGCTGGGACTACAGGCATGCACCACCATGCCCAGCTAATTTTTTCTATATATATTAGTAGGCTAATTAATTTCTTTCTATTTATAGTAGAGATGGGGTCTCGCTCTTGCTCAGGTTGGTTTCGAACTCCTGAACTCAAACGATCCGCCCGCCTCGGCCCCCCAGAGAGCTAGGATTACAGGTGTGAGCCACTGCGCCCGGCCTGACTTATTTATTTATTTATTTATTTATTTATTTTATTTATTTTTTTTTTTTTTGAGACAGAGTCTTGCTCTGTTGCCTGGGCTAGAGTGCCATGGTGTCAGCCCAGATCATGGCATCCTCCTGCCTCAACCTTCTGAGCAGCTGAGATCACAGGCATGCACTACCACATCTGGCTAATTTTTTCTATTTTTAGTAGAGATGGGGTCTCGTTCATGTTCAGGCTGGTCTCGAACTCCTGAGGTCAAGCAATCCTCCCACCTTGGCCTCCCAGAGTGCTAGGATTACAGGCATGAGCCACCATACCTGGCCAAGGAACTGACTCTTAATTTTAAAATTTAATCAGTGGATATGAAGATTCATTTATATCTTCTGTGAATTTTCATGATTCTCAGAGTGTTCTGCTTTTCTTTCCAACTTAAATTGAATTGTTTAGATACCAACAAAATGAGCAGATTTCTGGTGTATTGAATATCTATTAAAGCTTAAGTTAATACATGTGAGAATAGATCTTTTTGAAAAGAATAACCAAAATCAATTGTTGATTGCTACTGCAAAAAATTTTTCTTGACAAACTTAATTTCATCAGCATGGGTAATTTTGAATTTTGTAAAATATTCATGGAATTAGAGGAGATTTTTATGCCTTTTTTTAAGTTGAAATAGCTATAGAGATTTGTTAATTTCAGCTTTGGTTAAAGTAATTTTTTTTCAATTTTTTAAAAATGAAATGTGATCATTCTGTGTGTACCCTTCTATAAACTGCTCTTACTAATTAATATTTTGAATATCTTTCCATGTTACTGTATCTCTTAACCACTTCATTTTTATTTTATATGTATTTTTTTTTCTTTTTTCCCCCCCTAGGGGCGCAATATCTGCAGATATTTTAAATATATTCTATCAAGGATGAGCGATAACCTACTTAACCTTACAGTTGAGCATTTAGAGTATTTTTAGATTTTTATTACAACGCTTCGATAAACATCCTTGAAACTAGATATTTGCTCAAATATATTATTATTTCCCAAAGTTGAAATTGCTAGCTCGGAGCACATTCTTTTTTTTTTTTCTTCAAGGTTGTTGATAAATGTTATAAAATTATTCTCTGGATACTTTTCTTGGGCTCTTAAATTCATTATCCTTAAGAGGTGATTATGAAAGATTGAATTCTTTATATGGAAATAAACTTGAGCTTTAAATTCTTAATTTTTTTTCCAAAATGCAAGTAGCTATATTCTTTTGCATAATTTTATGTACACGAGAAAGTTTAATTTTTAAAAACAATTGGTGGTTTTTACTGTTTTTGTTTGTTTTTTAGGTGTTGCACCTCCCTCTTTTGTAGCAATTAAGGCAGGAACAACATTGTATCAGCTTACAACAGCAGGGGAAGCTGTCTCTTGGAATTCAGTATTTATTCTGATGATTTTGGCTGTTCTTTCTATTCTGCCAGCTATCTTCCAAAAGAAACTAAAGCAGAAATTTGAGTAAAAAAAAATCTGATTTTTAGTTTTGATATCATCATCATCATCATCATCTCAGGATTAGCAGGTGCATCCATTCATGTTTTAAAATCACCTCTTCAATAATTGAAACAAGGAATTTGTGAAATAAAATTTCCTATCAGATAATAAAATAATACATTTAAATGGCAAGGGGGAGAAGGAATAAAAATGGAAATTGGTATACTATGAAAAGTACTGTCAGTAGTCAAGGTAGAAATTTTATATAGGCCTCTTGTAAATTATTATATCAAGGGTAGCTATAATAGATAATAGCATGGTAGAAAATTCTTGATCCAACTGATTCATTCAATTTAATTTAATAATTTTCCTCTCATCTCTTACTAATAACTAAAATAGATACTTAAAAATTCTAGATTTTTAAAAATAGCATTGAAGTTTTTGCTAATGTTAGTCTTTTTTGAGAGCATAAACTGGAAAACTAAAGCTTAAAAAGAGATTTACATTTTCTCCTTCTTTTTACCTTTGAGGTAATGGATTTATTTACAGCTTGCATCTTTATAGACCACTGTATATGGAAAGGGTATCAAGTTACCTATTTTCTGAATTTTATTTTTATTTTTGTGTTCTAGATTTTTATCATGAATTAGTCTGAAATTTAAAATTCTGGCCAGTCTGTTTTCATCCTTTTTTCTAGTTTTTACAGTATTTCCACCTTGCATTTACAAAAGGGGGATTATATAACTATATCATATTTGGTGTTAATAATTTATATTCAGATAATATTTTGTTACAGTGCCCCTTTAATGTCTCCAAAGGGAATCTGAAAAGCAAACACTCAAAAGTATGCAGTTTTTAGACAGTAGGTGAATTATTTTATGTTTTGCAACAAACAGTGTCAATATAACACTTAAGAGGATATAGTTCCAGTGATTGTAAAAGTTACCTCATTTATTTATTCTGGTCATTAAGGAATGTATTATGTAATTCTTTTTATGCATGATACACTTCTAAGAATGCCCTTTTTTTGTTTTTATTGATGGCTTTTTTGTTTGGGGCTGCTTTTGATTAATGCAGTCTCCCAATTTAGTCTTTTTAGTTTTTCTAATTCACAAAGTAAACTTCTCACATGGTAACTACTATATATAAGTAGTTCTGGAAAAACTAAACTGCTTTTTGCAGCTTGGTTAAATGGCAATGCCCTGATTCCTTGATTCTAGGACATAGCCAATCTAAAGTACTCTTGTCAGTTTTACCTTCACCCAAGACTGTCATTACATTGAAAAGTACTTTAGCTGTGAAAAATCCTTGTATGTTTTTATTGTGAGAGGTATAATCATTCTCAGAGTCTATTTCTACTACATAATGTGGACTGATTCATTATTTTTTCTATCACAGTATTAACAAATGGATTTATTGTAAATACAAAGAAAATATATTGATTATTATAGTATTCTTGTGTCACCTGGCCTTTTTTGTGTGTGAAGTTATTTATTGTTATTTTTAGCAAGGTTTTCTTCCTTTCTTCTTGACCAGAGACTGAGTGATAAAGCTTTTGTTATTTTTACAAAAGAACTTAAAACATAGCCTTTTGGAACAGATTCACTAAATACTACTGTATAAAATGTAATTGAATAAATTTTTATCAGAATTTTAAAAATAAAAGTAAAAGCTTGGACTCAGGAGAAGCCTCACTATTTACTGTGGTGTGTATATATTGTACTTATTCTATTCTCAGAGTATTTTTCCTGTCCTTACCATTGATTCATTTCCTTGCTAATTTTTTTTTTCTGTTAGAAAGCTGTAGCTACAACTTTAGGTGGGATATATTCTCTTTTCCCAAGAGAATAGCCAGTCTTCCAGACTCAACATCATTGACTCTCATGAAAGAAGCCCTCAGCAGGCTGTACCCTAAATGCAGTTGATGGCCTGTATTCACGGATTCACAGACTTGGACTGATGCCAAATGTAAATTTCGAGCTTCAGCCATGTCCTGAAGACATTTATATAGTAATAACCACAAGGGATCAAACATCTGTAGTGGGAAGAAAGTGAGCCTGTTCCCTTCTTAGTTAATGGTCTCTATGGAGCTCTATTAGTTTGAGTATATTTCTAAGACACTTAATAAATGCAGACTAAAATGTAGTAAGAATAAATCATACTGAAGAAACTTAAATGTTATACTTGGGATTTATTTTATGAAGTACTTACATTAAAAAGCCTTTCATTGAATAAAAGCATATTCTCTGATAATTCTGATGTATCATTTTCACCACTAAAAGCAAATTTTTAAAACTTTTCTGTAAGGCTGGTGGCAGGCTCCTCCCTTCCCTAGATCAAAAAGAAAAGGCTCTTGAGACCATACCCGCCAAGGACAAAACTGCCAGGCCCCGCTGAGAGGAACCACACCGAGATGTCCACCTGGATTCCACAAATATCTCCAGCCCCTCCTAAAATCCCAGCTCTTCCTGCCAAAAGTCCCTAGCCAGGCCCAAAGGGTATAAAAGGCCTCGGGCCCCTTCAAACAGCGGTGGCTTGGGGGGGGGGCCTCTCTTGGGGCCCCAGAACCTGGTCCACCAGTGTATAATAAAGCCACGTGGTTTGGCCCCCACTCTTTCTCTGTGTCTGTCTTTTCTTTTCGCTGCCGCCGAAAAACCTTACACTTTCATTTTAATAGTTGGCTTTGGAGGATCCTAAAGCAATTTTTTAAAATTGTAAAGGTAAGTAAATATAGGCAAATATTTCTGGTACATACAATGATTTATTTATAAAGGAATCTTTTTAAAGTTCTCTGGCTGTTTGAAAATGAGTAGAATAAATCAAAAGGGCTGAAGATTCCTTGGTGTGAAATGATCTTTCAGTGATTATAATTAAGATATTTAGAAGGTAGATTTTATTGCAGTTTTAATACTCAATCCTGATTTTTTTTTTCCTTATCTGGGACAAATTTGGTAGTCTAGGTGTTAGGATGGGAACTCGTAGCTGGGGCTGAGAGAGTTCTTGACACAAAGAATAGTTTTAAAGAACGTTTATTTTACTTCCCAAATGGAGGGAAGGGCTTGGCACAAGAGAAAGAAAGAAGTACCAGCCTGAGGGTATGAGGTTCAGGGATTTTATGGGAATAAAGAAAAACAAAAGTGGTTGCTACCATCTGATGGCAGAAAATGGCTGTCTTGTTTTTCCCTTTTTTTTTTTTTCCCTGAGGCTGGCTTATCAGGGTCCTTGGAATGTGGTCTGGCCAGAGGTGGGGCTGGAGGGCTCTTAAAGGCTGTTAAACTCCTAAAGAAAAAGGTTAAGCCACTCAGTTGGTTAATCCCCCCTCCCAGCCTCACTCTGTTGCCCCGGCTAGAGCGCCCTGGCATCAGCCTAGCTCACAGCAACTTCAAACTCCTGAGCTCAAGCAATCCTTCTGTCTCAGCCTCCCGAGTAGCTGGGACTACAGGCATGTGCCACCATGCCCAGCTAATATTTTCTATATATTTTTAGTTGGCCAATTTCTATTTTTAGTGGAGATGAGGTCTCACTCTTGCTCAGGCTGGTCTTGAACTCCTGAGCTCAAATGATCTGCCCACCTTGGCCTCCCAGAGTGCTAGAGTTACAGGTGGGAGCCACAGTGCTGGCCTCAGTTGATTAATCTTAAAGGCAATGAGTTGTTCCACTGGTGGCTAATCAAAGGCAGTTGTGCTATGAACTTTTCCTTCAAAGGGGCAATTATGTACTGTGAGTTTACTCTCTTCCTGTTAATTTTTCTCTGTTAGATTATTAGCAGGGCCATTCTTTCAGTAGGTGAGTTGGGGGCTCAGGGAAGATAACTGCTTAAGCTCTCTGGGCCTTAGTTTTCTCATCTGGAGTAAGGAGTTCTAAGGTCCAGGGTCCTTACAGCTGAAACACAGGATTCTCTAAAATTAAAAAGATTAATAAACCCCTCTAATTCAAAGTAATAGGCATGCCTTGCTTGTTTGATAGCTTACAATATGCTTTTACATAAGTTATTTAAGCAAATTAACCATTTTATTTGTAATGAAATGCTTGAGCAAAAAATTCAAGAGCTGCTTGTTTGATGTTTTATTGCATTGATTTCCATTTGATTACTTTCTAGCAGGGGTCCTCAAACTTTTTAAACAGGGGACCAGTTCACTGTCCCTCAGACCGTTGGAGGACCAGACTATAGTTTAAAAAAAACTATGAACAGGCCAGGCACAGTGGCTCATGCCTGTAATCCTAGGACTCTGGGAGTCTGAGGCAGGCAGATTGCTCGAGGTCAGGGGTTTGAAACCAGCCTGAGCAAGAGTGAGACCCCGTCTCTACTAAAAACATAGAAAGAAATTAATTGACCAACTAAAAATATATATAGGCTGGGCGTGGTGGCTCACGCCTGTAACTCTAGCACTCTGGGAGGCCGAGGCGGGAGGATTGCTCGAGGTCAGGAGTTTGAAACCAGCCTGAGCAAGAGCGAGACCCCGTCTCTACTTAAATAGAAAGAAATTAATTGGCCAACTAATATATATAGAAAAAGAAATTAGCTGGGCATGGTGGCGCATGCCTGTAGTCCCAGCTACTCGGGAGGCTGAGGCAGGAGGATTGCTTGAGCTCAGGAGATTGAGGTTGCTATGAGCTAGGCTGACACCACGGCACTCACTCTAGCCTGGGCAACAAAGCAAGACTCTGTATAAAAAAAAAATTATATATATATATATAAATAAATTAGCTGGCCATGGTGGTGCATGCCTGTAGTCCCAGCTACTCGGGAGGCTGAGGCAGGAGGATTGCTTGAGCTCAGGAGATTGAGGTTGCTGTGAGCTAGACTGACGCCATGGCACTCACTCTAGCCTGGGCAACAAAGTGAGACTCTGTCTCAAAAAAGAAAAAAAAAAATCTATGAACAAATTTCTATGCACACTCACATATCTTATTTTGAAGTAAAAAAACAAACGGGCAAAAAAACACCTGCATGTGACCCGGGGGTCGTAGTTTGAGGACACCTGCTTTCTATTGATACCGGCCGAGTGGACCACTGCCCATGATGGCAGGTGGCTTCTTACCCTCTGTGAAGGAAGGAATTCAAGTATAGGGGCACAAGTAAGAGAAAAGAATTCAGACACAAAGTATAAGCAAAAGCAGAGAAGTTTACTGAAAGCAAAGTATCCTCTTAAGAGGGAGGCAAGGAGCAGACTGATCCAAAGAGGAAACAGTGCTATCCCAGAGTTAGGGACTGTTCTTTTATTCTAAATCCTAGTGCTGTGCTAAACTGGGGGCAGGATATTCATGGGTTTTCTGAGAAAGAGTTGAAGAGTTCTTGGAACTGAGGGACCTTCCCCTTTTGAGTCCATATAGGGTAACTTCTGGAGGTTGCCATGGTATTTGTCAACTGTCAGGACACTGATAGGTGTGATTTTTACTGTTAATGAGGGTAGTTCATTTAGAGACACTTTTGCCTCAACTATACACATGCCTCAAAGGAATTCCCCTTTTACCTTAAAGATACTTTGGCTAAAATGAAATAACTAAAGGATCCCTATTGGTTACCTTTATCTTAGCTAAGCATATTCACATTCTTTTTTTTTCCAGAGAATCTCCATGGACATATTCACATTCTTGTTATTTATCCTGTTGGCCTTCAGGCCCCTGCCCTAACTGCCTGCAGGGTATCTTACTTTCTCACTAGTAATACAAAATACAATAGGATGCAAGCTATACAAGAATGGAAATTCCATAGGCAGGTAAAAACTCTAAAGAGTCCTTTCATCCTTGAAATACTACTTGGTATGAAAAACAAATTGTAATATCAAGTCTTGTGACTTGTGTGTTTGCAGGGACTGCACTTTGAGAATAGAAGGTGGGGAAACCGTGCTGAACTGCTAGATTACTTTGCGGGGGGCAGGGAGTCCGTCTGTGCTCTGGGGTGCAAGTATCATCCAGCTTCAAGAACTTCAAGTGAGCACACTCTTCATGATGACCGGACTACTAAATAAACAGTGCTGGGAAGTAGAAATTGACCCAGTGTTAGCCATTATGGTTGTAGAGTACCACTTAAGTCTAAGAGGAGTTTTGAAAACTACTCTGAGATCTGCATTAGAACATGATCTGCATTAGAACAGAAACCAAGTGAGGGAACACATTGTTCCAAGTTTGCACATTTTAGATGGAAAACTAGTCAGTTTAACATTGTCTCTAACCTAGAATAAATCTATAAGAATCCACCTTGAAAGCATAGCCTGGAAAATGGTGTTTTGCCCATTATCAATTGACACATCCTTAAGAAAGTTCCAGGGTTCTTTCCTGGAAAACTAACATACCATAGAGAGACATGAGCGTGTTGATTCAAGACCCATGTCTTTCTTTCACCTGTGAGACAGGATTTCGTGGTGACCCCAGGGTGGATTTTTGAATTGGTGTTAAAACAGTCAAGGTTATAGACTGCTGTTAACTATATGAAAAGAAATAGTGACAGGTATTGCATAGGAAAATTGGATTTTTTTTGGTTAGAACATGTTAAGTGGAAGTGGAGCCTTTGGAAGTGATGATGGTATAGTGGAGTGGAGCCTTTGGAAGTGATGATGGTATAGTGATTAATAAAAAGAAAATCTTCTAGTTACATCAATGTTAGAAAAAAAAATAAAAATAAAAAGAAAATCGAATTTGTCATCAAGAATGATATGTGGTGATCTCACTTAAGTTTGGAA